CTACATAGCAACTAATGGCCCCCAACGGAGATCAAGGCCACATTGTGCTAGGCACTGTACGTATAGTAAGACACTGTCCCTTCATCAAAGAGCTTATAATTGATGTGGACAAGGCAGACAAAGAAAACAAAGAGGTGAAGTGACTTTTGTACGGTCACGTGCCCTGCAGGTCTGGGGTAGAGCTGTGAATAGGACCCAAGACTCCTGATTCCCAGTCCAATAGACTATGGTGTATCCCAAACAACAAAATGCCACAGAAAAATAGTATAACCAACTGTACAGAGTGACACATTGCTAACACACAATAACTTTCATTCATTTTCTGGGATGGGGCACATGAAATCTACTGTTAAATTACATTAAAAAGACTTGTAGTTGTTTATTGAGTGCCAACAATGAGCTTGGAACTGTACAGGCAGGAGCCATAGGATTATAGGACTAACAAGAAGGAAATCGGGGGTGTAGGGAGAAATCTGTTCAACATGTTTGTTGTCTATACACAAATGTAAGGAGTATGGGGAATAAACAGGATGAACTGCAAGTATTAGTCCATAAGTTAAATTATGACTTAATTGATATCACAGAGATTTTGTGGGAGAAGTCTTATGACTGGAATATTGATATAGAGGGGTACAGCATGTTCAGGAAGGACATGCAGGATGAAAAGGGAGGAAGTGTTGCATTGTACATAAAGAATATATATATTTATTCTGAGGTCCAGAAGGAGGTGAGAAGCAGACCAGTTGAAAGTCTCTGGGTAAAGATAAAAGGAGGAGTAAAAATTGGGGTGATGTGGTAGGGGTCTACTATAGACTATCAAATCAGGAAGAGGAGGTGCAGGATGAGGCATTTCTAGAAGAAATAACAGAAATATCCAAAACACAAGTCATGGTAGTAATTGGGGATTTTAACTACACAAACATCTATAGGAAAAGAAATACAGTATAACACAATATTATGTGGGACAATTTTTTGTTTCAGAAAGTGGATGAAGGAACAGTAATTTTAGACTTGATTCTGACCAACACGGAGGAATTGGTTGTGAATCTGAAAGTGGAAGACAATTTTGGGGAAAGTGATCATTAAATGCTCGATTTCATGATTCTAAGGAAAGGAAGGAGTAAGATCAGTAGCAGGACAATTTGTTTCAGAAAAGCAGACTTTAATAAACTCAGAGTACTGGTAGGTAAGGTTCCATGAAAAGAAAATCTAAGAGCAAAAGTAATTCAGGAGAGCTGGCAGTATCTGAAGGAGACAATAGTAAAGGCAAAACTGCAAACTATCCCCATATGAAGGAAAGAAGAATAATCGAAAGAGGCGAGTATGGCTCCACCAGGAACTCTTAAAAATGTGGAAACATGGGCCAACTAAGGAGGAGTACAAAAAGAATTGCACAAGCATGTAGGGACAAAATTAGAAAGGCCAAGGCACAAAATGAGTTACACCTAATGAGGGACATAAAAGGTAATAAGAAAAACATAGTACCTCTCTTCAAAGAGGGGAACAAGGAGGCTACCCCGGAATTATAGACCAGTCAGCTTAACTTCAATACCTAGAAAGATACTGGAACAAATTATTAAACCATCAGTTTGTAAGCACTTACAGGATAATAGAACAAGTCATGCTAAACCACCGTAATTTCCTTCTTTGACAGTATTACTGGCCTGTTGGATTGTGGGGGAGCAGTAGGTGTGATATAGCTTGATTATATCAAAGGCTTTTGACACAGTCGCACATGACATTCTCAGAATGAAACTATGGAAATGTGGGTCAGATTCAATCAGTTAGGCACCCACAATTTAAAGACTGTACTCAAAGAGTAGTTATCAATGGTTTGCTGTCAAACTGGGAGGATGTATTTCATAAGGTCCTGTAGGGGGTCAGTCCTGGGTCTGGTACTAATTCAATATTTTCATTAATGACGTGGCTAATGGAATAGAGTGCATCCTTATAAAATTTGCGGATGATGATAAGCTGGGAGGGGTAGCAAGCACTTTGGAGGACAGGACTAGAATTCAAAAATACCCTCAACAAATTGGCGAGTTGTATGAATTCAACAAGATGAAATTCAATAAAGCAAAGTATTTCATTTAGGACAGAAAATGAAAATGCCCAACTACAAAATGGGGAATAACTGGCTATGTGTTAGTACTGCTGAAAAGGATGTGGGGTTATACTGAATCACAAATTGTATATGAGTAATGGTGCTGGGACTCACCACCTGGCGCCTCCTGCTGGTTGTCTCTGGGAATTAGCTCTGTCCAGTGGAACGCCCCCTCCTGGTGGTGTCCCGTCCGTCATCTCGCCCTCGGTTGGCATCTGAGCCCGTGTCGCTCACCAGCTCGCGGCGTCCTTTTCGAGCCACTGCCCTCCAGCAGTGCCCTTAGTCTATCCTCGCCCCCTTCCGGGGGAGGGGAATTGATCAGCAGTCTCTCTGCACTCCAGCCACCATGTACAACCACACACCCCAAAGTCTAATCCCTCTTGTCAGGGATCTGGCGTAGTCTATAATGGCCGCTCCCTACGGCCAATGGCTGGGTGTACTGCAAGGGGGGGGACCCAGGCCCACCCTCTACTCTGGATCCCGGTCCAGGGACCCTCTGGCGACAGCCTCGCTGTCCTCCTTCTCTCCCCTCATCTGTCTGCTTCCCTGGTTTGCTTCCCCTATGGCCCCTTGCACCCGCTAGGCCCTTCCCCTCAGGGCCTGCAACCTGGCAGACACCGGGCTGGAGTTCCCCTCTGCTCCCCCGGGCCTGCCCAGCACTGCACTGTTCCTGGTGCTAGTCTCCCTGGTCTGGAGACAGACCTTCCCCTCTCAAAGGCCTGGGACAGACTCCTTGCTGCGCTTCTGGGCAGCCTTTATATAGGGCCAAGCTGAGCCCTGATTGGCCGTCAGTAAGCCCTTTCCTGATTGACTGCCGGCCTGCGCAGCCTCTCTGGCCTACTCTGCCCCCTCTCACATCGGGGTGGGGCACTCACCCTGCCACAATGTGTCAACAATGTGATGCAGTTGTGAAAAAGGCAGCTATTCTGGGGTGTATTTACAGGAGTGTTGTATGTAAGACAAGGGAGGTAATTGTCCCGCCCTACTTGGCACTGGTCAGGCCTCAGCTGGAGTCCAGTTCTGTGCAACACACTTTAGGAAAGATGTGGACAAATGGGAGAGAGGCAGTGGACTCGAGAAGAGCAACAAAACAAAAAAACTGGGCATGTTCAGTCTTGCGAAAAGAAGACTATGATGGGGAACATGACTTGTTTTCCATGTTGACTGAAGGTAGGACAAGAAGTAATCAGGTTAATCTGCAGCATGGGAGATTTTGGTTAGAGATTAGGAAAAACTTTCCAACTATAAGGCAGTTAAGCTCTGGAATAGACTCTCAACAGAGGTTGTGGAATCTTCAACATTGGCGGTTTTTAAGAAGAGGCTGCACAAACACCTGTCAGGGATGGTCTAGATTTACTTGGTCCTGCCTCAATGTAGGAGGCTGGACTTGATGACTTCTCAAGCTCCCTGCCAGCCCTACATTTCTATGATTCTATAGCTGCACCTTTAAAGACTATATGAGCTTTGGGTGACATTTTTCCCTAGTGCAGAGAGCCAATGGGATGCTCTCCACACCACTGACACCCTACATTGGGGCTGCAATGGGGGGGAGTATAACTGTGGAGCAGCTTTGCCATACGGTCTCCACACCTTCTGGCCACCGCTTGGGAGTGTCTGCATTAGCCCGCAATAGGTCAGTATTTTGTGGGGGGTTATAGGCACGGCCATAGGATCCATGACCATGTGGAGCTAGTGACTTGAAGACCCACTGACTTCAGTGGAGCCAGACTATCACCCCCTTGTGGTGGAGGATTTTGGAGCAGGACACAATCACTATTTCAGACTGTGGGCTGGATTAGGGGGTCTGCTTGTGTTCGGGGAGAAGATAAATTCCATCCCTCTTTCTCCAGCCCCTGCAGATAGCCTTGCAAAAAGCATGACTACTCAGGCTTTGTGCAGAGGGATGGAAGGACTGAGAGGATACATATCTCCTTTTGTGATTGTGTAGTAGATCAAACGCTGTCATATCACGTTTATCGGTAAACATCTTTTTATTAACATATTTGGGGATAAGTGTTCTCATAGCACTTGTTTCTCCAAACGTATTAACAATGTCCAAAGCAGGGACTGCTGCACTGGGGGTGGGGATGGGTAAAATAGGATCTAACCAGGGTCAACCCTTCTCCCCTTTCACACCTCCCCTGGATTTAGAATGTGGAGGGGAGACCCCCCCACACACACTCTGGGGACACTAGGGACTACCTACGTGAGCTGCAGAGAGGAGGCAGCCAGAGACTTCACCTGGTAGAAGCAGCAGCAGACCAAGAAGGCACCTTTGGACATCTAGTTAAAGCCCTGGAATGTTCTCTGACTTCCCTCTGCCCTGCACTGATTCGCTGTTTGCTCCAACTTCTGTCCCCACAAACAAACATTCATTTAAACAAATGTGAAAGTAAACAACGCTGTCAACTCTTGCTATTCTATAGCAAGTCATACAATATTTGCTGTTTTTCTTAAAGACACAGCTCTTGGAGTCATAAGCTTACATTTCATTCAAATAAAAGTTTCATAGTTATGGAGAAAGCTTGAAAATTTGAACCATAAAGGCCCAAGAATTAGAATGCAAATAAACAGAACCCAAGAATTATTATTTTTAAATCTCATTATTTTTTAATCAATCTAATAATTTTGGGGTTCTGACTCATGATTTTTGAATACTTGGGATTAGCAATACTGAAGCAACCTTACAGTATATTAAATGCCATGAGATGATGAGAAACCATGTAAACTCAAAAGTCCATATATATTAAACTGCACAGTAACACAAGTTTCTGAACTCTATAGAGTTCAATTACATGGCAGGGAAAAGTAATTGTACTGTACTGATCCACTCCCGTTCGTGGTAGAGTTAGTGTATTCTGCTATTTATTCTTGCTTTTGTTTCCTCCCTCTTCAGTGTTATTATGACAGGTGCATATAACAACTTCTTTCGAATGTTTGACCGAAACACCAAGCGGGATGTTACCTTGGAGGCATCCCGGGAGAGCAGTAAGCCACGAGCCATTCTAAAACCCCGCCGAGTCTGCGTAGGGGGCAAGCGAAGGAAAGATGACATCAGTGTCGACAGTTTGGACTTTACGAAGAAGATCTTGCACACAGCCTGGCATCCAACTGAGAACATAATTGCTATAGCAGCGACAAACAATCTGTACATATTTCAGGATAAAGTGAACTCAGAAATGCACTAGATCGATCAATATCTTTCTGTATTTATAAACCAGCCTTTTGAGAGTTGTAGAAGGACATGATCTTCACAAAAGTGTGGTCATTGTGGTGGAATTTGTAGATTCCCTCCCACTACCCCTCAGTCTGTATCATTGTTGGTGGCAACCAACTGTTTTAAATCACTGCAACTGTATAATTGTCTAAGTAAAAAGGCACTACTGTGAATTCAGTACTGTGGTCTATGTCCATTTTTTAAACAATCAGGGGTATTCACTTCAGGACTGATCCTGTGAGGTGCTGAGTACCCTAAACTCCAGGGACAATGCTTCACAGGACCAGCATCCTGCTGTGCTGCATTCTTCCGCAGTCTGCAGTGTTCACCACATTATTAGAGCTTTTCACATTAGTCCCTTGATTTTTTTCAGGAATGCTTTCCGGGCTTTCAAAGTCAAGTAGACTTATTTATGAGTGTAGGAATAGCTGTGTCCCCCATACATTGCTGCGTACAGAAGGAAGGCCCGAGACAGTTAGTAATATGGAAGCAAAATAAATTATTCTGCTTATTAACAAGTGACAAGTTGTCCCTATTTCCCTTTTCACATTCCCCGTCCCTCGCATTGAGCCCGCATTATGGAGTTCCACAAACACTTTTATAATTTTTTACGTCTGCTAGAAATCCTGACTTTGTATTTCAACTTTCTGAGTCAAAAAATGAAGAGTGCTGTCGATAATCTCAACTACCTTAGTTTAAAAAGGCAGCTTGTTCTGCAGGTACATTTCCAATCACACTGTAGAATGTGACAATACTAATTTCAGTGGGTGCCATTTAAAAACTCAGGATTTGCCACTCCACGGTGACTATTCAACACATTTAAAGATACACTTGTTAATGCAGATACACATGTGCTATTACAATTTTGGGATGGGATTTTCAGAAACCCTCAAGTGTTGGCCTAACTCTGCTTCCACTGAAGTCAAACATTGAATTAAGCCCTTTTGAAAATCCCACACGTGATGTTTACTGCATCACACTTATTACTTTAAACTTGGTATTTGCAGAATCCCCAGGAAATACAGGTTTAATTACTATGAATGGTAACTCAAGAGTTTAGCGTGGCTCAGTGAATTTTAAAATGACTGTAAAATTACAAGATGACTCCTGGGTGAAACAGAAAACTAAAATTCTACTTAAATTGGTTTATACAGTTCTTTCTTCAATTGAACTTCAATGTAAATGGAAGATGATATTTCCATTAAGAAGTGTATAGAAATGGTGTACAATTTTGGAAATGCTTTTTAATCTAGGAAATCTTTCTGCATGACTAATAAAATCTGCGGAAAAATTATTACCCCAAATGATTTCTTCTCAACTCATGAGTAAAGGAGTGTAACTGATTCAGATGCCTTGGCTGATCTGCTCTTGTTAAAAATCCCTCACTTAGAAAAGGTTCTTTAACAACCTTACCCCATTCTTCACTAACTTTTTGGAAAATGGAGAATGAACTAATAAATGAACCTGCATGCTTTTATATTTTGATTTTTGGGGGAAAATCTACTACCAAGGTTTACAAAAAAAAAAGGTGACAACTTTTTATATGAAGTCTTGACATGACACATGAACTATGTATGTTTAAATTTTTTTAGATTGATACTGTATATTCCGTGTGTAGAAGCACAAACGCATGTGCATCAGTTTCCAGCAATACTATACACATACAGTATGAAATATGTAGGTTAATTTTAAAGGGAATGAGGAATGTTTGTTTATAAAATACTGTATACCCTAGAAGACCTGGGCAGTATTATATGTATATATTTATTCTAATTAAAGTTAACAATCAATTTTTTTCTTGTAAAAAGGTTTAAGAATGTGGTAAATTGTATAGAAATCTCGTTAATGCCAAACTACTGCTTCAAAGGTGTCATACACTTTCTTTGACTTTTGGCCGCCTCCATTAACCTTTGTAGCCCAAAAATGCTAACGGCTCATACTGGCATTTACTGCTAGAAGTACTGTAAAACATATTTAGCTTCTAACATCCTCAAGTAAGAGTCTATATGTAACTTATTATAAAGCAGATCTTAATACAACAGTAATACTATTTTTATTTCAAGTACCTTATTCTGTTTCAGGTTTGGGTACCAAAAAGGTCTTGTAAAAATAACTAATAAAATACATTTTTGGAGCTTTACAAAATTATTGATTTCCAGACCAAAATGATATGATGTGATTATTGAGGAAAATATGGAAATCCTTTTAAAGACCAGTATCACATTCATGACTCTGATATCACTGCTACGATTCAGTTTCCTGGTCTTTTTGAATGTAAGAAAGTTGACATCGTCATTGTAAATCTTTTAAAACTTTTTTTCGTTTTTGGTTTAAGCTTTCAGTGGCGTAGAGTAAATGATGGTAAAGTTGGTAAATCAGATTGTTTGGAAAGCTGTTGTTCATGGCTGCATTCTTTGTGTTGCACAAATTAGCTAACTGTTGTTGAATAAAGATATAAATATGTTAATACCAGCTTTTTCAATAAAATGACTGCAAAAATTGCGTAAACAAATGAGTGAGCTGTGCCTTATTTTTAAGCTAAACATTAGGCATGTAGGTGCTTTGGAAAACAACAACAAAAACGGAGCAGTGAGTCTCAGCGCCCAGGTCTACACGCATATGCTCATCGGTCTCATACTACAGCACTAAAAATAGCTGTGTAGATACTCCGGCTGGGGATGGAGCACAGGCTATGAAAACTGGGGAAGCATTTTTTGTTGTTTTGGCAGTGTAGACAAAACTGCCTAAGTCGCTTTTGAAAATGTACTTAGACTCCTAAATTCCATAGGTGGTTTTAAAATCACCCCAAATCAGAAAGAAACAAATAAAAATAATTATGATAGGTAAATGCCAATGAAGAAGAAAGCATTTTAAATCTATATAGCGCTAGAGGCAAGTATGGCAGCTTGCATACAAAGCTCCCACTGCAGTCAATAGGAACTTTGCCACTGTAAAGAGGGCAGGATGCAGCAGGTAATTCAAGTTTAGAAAAACAAGTTAAAATATTAACAGAATATCGTAATTCCTAAATGTTACATTCATCAGAGGAGGTGCCCCAGTTCTGTCAGAAGTGGGAACATGTGTGTCTGTCAGCACATTTTTAATTATTTTAACACCTGACAGAAGAAGTGTACGGGTTTATAAAATGAGAAGGGTGAGCCCTGTCCATCAGAAAAGAGGCACAAATATTTAGTTTTCTCATTTTTAAAAAAGTATTAACACAACAGCAGCTAACATCAAATATATGGAAGCAGAAATTCTGTTAGAGCTACCTGGCAAGAAGAGATTCATAGTTAAACAGCGGCACTGAGCCATGCCGGGGAGACTTAATACTTAATTGGGAAACAAGTCACGTGTCAAGATGAAAACAACGTGGCAGGACAAATCCCTAGAAGAAGCAGTATTAAGTGGTGGTGATACAAATTAAACCTGCAGTGCCAATCCTACAGTGAGGCAAAATGCCCATTGAAGAAAATGAGTTCATCTATGTAAGACTGAGTTGACCCACAGAGCGACTGCAGTGCTCAGCAACGCTGGGAGAGCAAAAGAATTTAGCATGAAGCTTCTTCAGATACACGGCTAGATTGTACCTATCTTTAGGTTTATGTGTAAAGGCGGGAGGAGAGAATGGCATGGTCTTAACACACCTCTCCCCTAGTTTACCTGTCGCTTCTTTTTTCCCCTCACCTGGCACATTTCCAGTCCTTGAACTACCTAGTCTCACTTGGCTTATCAAATATGAGTAGATAGTGGTGGGATAAAACTTAGTTGCAAATAAACACATCAAGCAATATGCCCATTTCCCTTTGCAGTTTCTCTTCATCTCTAGTGCCCAGCAGGATAAACATAAACCAGATGCCACCCTCCATTGCTCTAGAAAGTTCAGCAAATATATTTATTAACAGCACATGATAACCTGTTTTAACGCTATTGATTAGTGAAAAACAATGGCAACAGGAGCTGCTTCTCTTGGTTCAGTGCCACCTACTATTGCTATTTGCAGTCAGTGCAGCCACTTTGCTCTGATTTTCAGTTTGAGGCTAGTTCCCCCATCTAGTGAGATTGAGATGACATTTCTAACCTTCCAACACCACTGCTAGGTTGAAATTCACCCCCACCTCCACAGAGAAGGCCAGCACAAGAACTATGCCCACTTAATTCCTAGTTTCAGCCTATGTTATTGATTCCCTCATCCTCCTGATTCCATAATTACATCCCCTGCCCATTTGCATTCTTCTCACTAATTGTCTCATATCTAAAATTAGAGTCTGATCCTGCACACGCTTATGTAGGCCCTCAGAAGGCAACAGGACAAGGAAAAGTTTGCAGGATTGGACTCCTGGGGGCAGGGTACATGTTGTCTTTGTACTGTAAATCTCATGCAATGCTTTAGGTGCTGTACAAATGACAGTGAATAATAAGTGCTGGAAATACTTTCCTCGGGGATGTAATGCAGAAAAACCTTATTCCTTTGTATTCTTGTCTCAGTCCCAGCTGCTGGGCTAGAAAGTCATTGTGGGTGAGCATTCTTTACACACTTATCCACTGTAAAGAAGTACTCCACATTATGGCCCAATGCGAGGACCCATTCAGGCGAGGTATACCTGACCTAGGCAGACTGACTTGGGTTCCTTGATCTAGAAGTGTTACCATGGTTACAGATTAAGCAGTCATTATATTGATAATGATTTGTCTTGTCATTTGCTAAGTGCAGCCAATCAATAGAAGGTACAAGGCATGTAACTGATCACATTTCCATTAAATAATTATTTTAATTACCACAGTGACCATATATTTTATTTTCATTTAACATTACTGCTAACGAGAATAATAGGACCTAAGTAAATAAAAGAAGGTCTCTTTTTTATATGCAGGGTGCTCTTTTTTAGCACTTTTGTGAAAAGCCACCACCTTTGTTAAAAATAACTAATATCTGAAAAGAGGAGAGAGCACTGGTTTCATACCAAATAGAATGTGAATTTCTAACACAGCAATAAACAGCAGTCCTATCTGAAAAGACCTTGTCGGAACCAAATGTTTCTTCAACCCAAAGACAGATTAGCTCCAAATGCAGGGACAAATTCCTCAGCTGGTATAAAGTGACACAATGCCAATGAGCAATTCCAGCTGAGGATCGGGCCCATAATATCCTTAATAAAATAAATCTGTCATCACCTGTTATAGATCAATGGATTCAACTGCTGGAAGAAAGCTGTTCTGGAAAAAATCAATGTAAATAACAAACAAAAAGAATAATTTAACCTGGAATCAGGGGCCAAATTGAGGGGGGGGCAGGAAAAGGCTGGTACTCTTCCAAGCTCCACCCACAAAATAAGCTCCTCCGATGCACGTCATCCAATGAACCACTCACAGCAGATTGGGCAGCTACTTTAGAGATGATCATGTGTCTTGCTGAGCCTCAATCTTGAATTTGGCTCAACCTTGGTGGGATTTGAATGGGGTTGCCAACTGCTGAATCACACAAATGCAAACACCCTTGCCCCGCCCCTTCCCCGAGACCCCACCCCTGCCCCATCCCTTCTCCAAGGCCCCACCCTGCTCACACCATCCCCCCTCCCTCTGTTGCTTGCTCTCCCCGGATTGGGGCAGGGGTGCGGGCTCTGGGCTGGGGCCGAGGGGTTCGGAGTGTGGGACAGGGCTGAGCCTGGGGCAGAGGGTTTGGGTGCAGGAGAGGGTGCAGGGTGCAAGCTCTGGGAGGGAGTTTGGGTGCAGGAGGGGGGTCAGGGCTGGGGTGCGAGGTGCGGACTCCAGCTGGGCGGCACTTACCTCAGGCGGCTCCCGATGGGCAGCGCAGTGGGGCTAAGGCTGGCTCCCTGCCTGCCCTGGCCCCATGCCACTCCCAGAAGTGGCCAGCAGGTCCCTGCGGCCCCTGGGGGTAGGGGCCAGGGGACTCTGCGCACTGCCCCTACTTAAAATCTCCCAGTTTGGCTTCAGTAGCTTCCCAGTAGGAGCAATATGAGATAGTGGGCACTTTTAGTAATGGCAAAAATAATGAGAAAGCCCAGGCTTTCACTTTATGTCATGAGTGGCATTTCTTGGGTGTAATCGGCAAAAGTTTCACAAAGGCTAGTGATCTACACTACCAGCCTAGCTGGCAGTCCACAAGGATCACAAATTGGATACATGAATTCTGAGGACATCTCAAACTTCAGACCACCTCACCTAGTTGAAAAAAGTCTTTACAATAAAATATACAGTATTTTGTGTTTGGGGGTTTGTGCCTTATTTAGTCTTCAGTTGGTAACCCTGACAGTGTCTACCCACCTGCCCGCTGCCGCCCAAAATGCAGAAAAGGAGTATCTAAAATCTGGAGGCCACATGAGAATGAGTTGATACAGTGAGTCAGCAGTAGATACAGGAACAGAACACCAAACTCTTGACTTCTGGGTCTGTATTCTCACCCCAGGTGCCACCATTCTGCAAATTCTTTGGTTCATCAAACTTAAAAACAATAGAAAAAATGGCCAATTGGGGAGAAAGTTTAAATAAAAAGAGATTTCAAAGGCTAAACATCAAAAGCAAATAAATGAATTAGCAATAGTAAGTGAACAGGTAAGTAAATGTATTGCTCTCTGCTTGGCCCAACATTAGCCAACATTTAAGGTCTTATAGGTTTGTTTCAATTAGGAGGAGGAATAGTTGATGTGTGCCAGGTAAATTCTTTCATGTAATCTTGTTTATTTATAAACAATATACACAGTGTCTTGTTTTCCTGAGCAGGAACAACAACATGCAGTTGCCTTTCTCAGAAATCCCGAGGTGTGCAACTCCACTGAGTTCTGTGCACAAGGAGTTCCGTCTCTCTGCTTCCTCTCCGAGTCACACTCACATCTGCTTCTCCAGGCTTTCAGTCCCTAAGGCTGTGTCTATACTGCAGAGTTAATCTGGGTGACTGGCACCCGGATTAGCCTTACTCAGGTGTGAGTGTCCCCACCGCAAAGCCCTACTCGTGTTACTGCATCCTCACAGCTTCTGCACTTGCCCACGTGTGGGGGCATAGCCTATGGCTCTTTGTGCTGGGACATTATAGGATTCTTTCCTGGTCAATTGTGTCAATTGCAGAACTTGTCTGTCTTGCTGGGGAAACAGCGAGAAAGGGATTGGAGGATCATTGGCACTCGAGTGATTTACTCCGCATCCTCACTGCAAAGTGGGCAGGTTCCAGCCTGAGTTAAAGTGAAGCCCGGGTTCTAACCCACACCCCCAGCTGGGTAAAGCCCAGCCGGAGCCTAAAGCACCTCTAAACCCAAGTTAGAGGTTTTTCTATGTGGAAGGTTAGGGGGTTAAAGCTAAAATCCAGGTAAGAACCTGTGTAAACTGTGCAGTGTAAACATATCCTAACACATACACAGGCTGCAAAACTGATATCCTAACTCCTGTGTTTGCAGCCAGGGAAATCCCACAGCCAACACATTTAGCTCTGACCATCCATTGTTTGCAGCTGTTGCTTCCTATATAAAGTGACTTGATTGCTCCTTCTGTTGGATCTGA